AAGGTCAACAGCCAGCCCCACTCATGGGCTACAGCCCACATTGTCTTTTTCCCTGTGTGCAACAAATGCTGATGTAGCCACTGGGCCATATCAGAGGCAGGCTTTCCTTCTAGCCAGCACACCTGGGCCAGTGTGTCTGCTTCATCATTCCCTGGGGATGCCAAAGGAAAATGGCCAGTCCCATGATATATGGTAACAGTCTTAGACTGACCAGTGGCCCATAGGTCTTGACACAACTCTTGCCCCTCAAAGGGACCAGTGACCAACCATTCGGTTGGCATGGTACCATGTCAGTAGCCACAGGGTCAAGCCCCGATAGACGGCCCAGCTGTCAGTGCAGACAACTATGTGGGAAGGCTCCTGGGTGATCACGAGCCATACTGCCCACATCTCAGCCCACTGGCTGCTCTTCCTGTCTCCATCCTCATCCATACTGTATCAGTCTTAGGATGGAAAGCCACAGGCCTCCACTTCGGGGACTGCCCATGACTAGAGCCATCTGAGTACCAAGCATCTTCAGGTATAGGGGCTTTTACCACCTGATAAGGACTCTTAGCTACCAATGGCTCAAAAGCAAGTTCTTCCTGCTTTCCACTGGTATATATCACTGGCCCCAATAAGCATTAGAGTTCTCCACTTAAGGGACCAGTAGACAGAGTACTAAACTGCTGTAAGTATGCACTTGGCCAGTGTAGGCATCTGTGCCATGCCACTCCATGTCCTTTGGGTCCAGTCTCGCACCCACCCCGTGATGGGATAGGTGGTTATTACCTTGGTCAGAGCGGTTCTTGTGATGGGTTCCATAGCCAGCAAGGTGTGATACACAGCAGCCAGTTGCTTAACTATCAGGGTGTCCTGGACCTCTGCTCCTTTCCATAGCTGTGACCAGAATCCAATAGGTTGGTGTATCCATTCAAGCTGCTGCCAAATGCCCCATCCATAACCATCTTCAGTTACATGAACATCTAGCTTACAAGGCCTTTATGGGTCCATTACACTCAAGACATACATGGCCTTGACTACTCAATTAGCAGTTGTAAAGGCAGATAAGCAGGTTTTATCCCAGTCCCACCTGTTGCGCTTTTGTACCAATGAGTATAAGGGTCTCAGAATTTGTGCAAAACATTCTCCAGTAGCCTAGAAGACCCCAAAACTTGTAATGCTGACACAGTTGTAGGGATAGGAAAAGCGTGGAATTTATCTATGACTGTGTCTGGGATAACTTTAGTTTTACCCTACCAGACAACCCAGAAAATGTTTACAGACAAACCAAGCCCCTGAACCTTGGTACTTTTTACAGCCCATCCTTTCTCCTGTAGATATTGCAGCAATCTAGGAACTGCCCCTTCTAAATCTGCAAGAGAATCAGATGTGAGCATGATATCAATGTAGTGATACAGCTGTACCATTTTGTGGCCAAGTCCTGGGCTACAAGTCCATGACAAATGGTGGGACTGTGGAGGTATCCCTGTGGAAGGACAGTGAATGTCCACTGCCAGCCTTCCCACATGAAGGAAAACTGTTCCTGACTTTCCTGTGCTACGGCAATAGAGAAGAAGGCATTAGCAAGGTCCACAACATAATGATATTTACCTAATTCATGACTGACTGTGCCCATAAGGGCTGCTATAGAGGTGACAGAAGCATGCAAGGGGTTGTAACTTTAGTCAAGTCCAACTTTTTCACTGGCCACACCAGGAAATTAAAAGGACTATGAGTGGGCTTTATGATGCCCATTTTCTCTGACTTCTATAGTTTCTCCAATTTCTTTGTTCCCGTCAGGCAGTTTAAGTTGCTTAGTATTTGTCCACCCAGCTACAGGCAGATCTACAGGTGGGTGCTTAGGATATCCCTTCAGAACTGCCTTTACTACATGTATCCTCAGTCTTAGCTCATTTGCATTGGTTTGCAACCACAGGCCCTGCAGGATATACACATCAAAAATATATTCAGGGAAGGGAGAAATATACACAGTATACTTCTTTGGGTGTTAAAGCTCTATTCCCAATTGTATTTGGCTTTCTTCACTGTAATCGCCTTACTCCCATAGCCATCCATCACAGTGGGGGGCCCAGGTAACTGCTCAGCGTTGCCATAAATCAGAGAACAGCTCCTGTGTCCACCAGTGTCAGGAGATGTTGTACATTTACTGGGGACAAATGAATTGCTAATTGTACATGTGGCCTCTGCTTCCACCAAGTACCCCAAGGTGGGGGCTTTGACTCCCGTCAGTCAAACTGCAAAGCCCAATTGCCCTCCTTTGGGGGTCAGGGCCTAGGTGTGGTCTGCGTACTCTCCCTTAGGAGGTCATGCAGGCACATGGGCCGGACATGGGGCTTTGCCTCTGGCCTCCATGTCCTGGACCTCAGAGGCTGGAACTGCTGCTCTGGCTTTGATTGGTGCCACTGTTCCAGCAATATTCTATTAGAATATCAAGTTTTTCTTTTGCTGCCACATATGGGTTCTCAAGAACTTCACAGGGCCCTTTGCACTTCTCTTTCAGTAGCAGATTGTATCTCCTTCATGTTTTTATTGGTTCAACCTCCCCCAGATCTGCTGTAGTGTGAGTAACCTCACTCATGTGTTGCTCTATGTGGGGGTCAAGAATAGTCACTAAGGATCCAATGAGGGATGGGGTAGCTGTATGGAGCACCAGATTTGTCATCCCCATGGAGAACAACTCCCCATCAGGGCCCTGAGGGTGCATATTGTACATGGTATATTTCATGTCCAACTCATGTAACATCTGCTGGAGCCCTGCATACATTTGCCAGCTAGTGAGGAATTATGGTGAATCAGCCTGATTAGGCCAAACTGCCCTGAGGGCTGCTGTCAGCCAATCCAAAAGTGCACGATTCCCTCAGGTCTGATAAGCATTTTGAAATCTCTGCTGGAGAGAGGGGTGAGCCATCAGGGAAGCCAGTTAACCCATTTCTGACCCAGACAGGACAATGCCAATTACTCCTAAATCCCCAAGGTGCAAAAGCCATGTGGTCAGAGGCTCTGAGGTCTTCTTCTGAAACTGGGTGCTCAAATCCACCAGCTCAGCCAGGGTATATGGGTGCAGCATGGAATGCTCCACAACCTGTTGGTGGGGGTGGGGTGGGGTTCTCCTGTCCCTACGGAACCTGTGGTTTCTGTGTCTTTGTTTTCTTAACTACAACTGGGCAGGCTGTCAGTATAGGAACGGCTGGTGCCTCAGCCACACCCCCTCGGCCTTCCCTGGCTCCACCTCCCCTGACATCTTGTCTACCATTTCCAAGCCTAAGGTACTGCCCCTTCCCTCACCTCCTCCATGGCCTCTTACAACCTGCATTTTTATGGGGCCCCCTCCTGTGCCACTAGCATGTCTCTCATCAGGTTGATCTCAGTTTTCAATAGCTTTTATTCCTTTTTCAGAGCATCCCACAACTTGTTTTCCTGTTCTGCCAATTGATGCTGAAGTGTATCTCTTTCCTTGGTAACTATTTATAATGCTGTAAGAAACAACCACTGCACGTTTCCTGCCACTACGTGGCCACTCATTTCCCCTAAGGATCCCCCTATTCTGCAGAGAGCCAACTCCCCTGCCTCCTGCATCACCGCCCTTCCCTAATTCTGGGGAGGAGCCCACTCCTCTAGGAGGTACCTTCTCCCATACCAAATACCCACTGGGGAATCGCCAGGTGAATTCCCACCTCCCATAGGAGGATCCCTGGGTGAATCCCCACCATCCATAGGGGGTTCCTTGGGTATTTCCCCAACACAGCCACGAGGACAGATTTCAGGTTCACTGGACCCTGCTAACTCTTTCCAAAATGTAGCTCCAGGAGGAAGTGAGTTCCCAAGCCTTGGGCAAGCTCCCTATGAATCTGGGAAAATTAAAGGAGGACAAGGGGAAGGGCAAGTGGGTGTGAAAGAGTTCATGACTCACAGCTTGCTCGGGTTCACTAGTCAGGCCCTAAACCATGTGTCGCCTCTGGCCATGGCTTGTGTCCTCCCCTCCCTGACCCACCCCTTCTGGCAGCAACTCCATGGTGTGACCCTGGTGACTGGTGTGTGCCAGGCCAATTAGGTGCCAGACCATTTAGTTACCAGAAACAGAGGGAAGGAGAGAATGGCTGTTATCTTTCAACCCCTTGCCCTTGACCAACTAGAGGCTCTGCCATGGTAAACATCCATTGCTATGTAAATGGACTAAGGCCAGGTGGGAAATTCTGGGTGACATCTTCCATTTATCCCACACTGCCATTTGCAACAACACGGATGACCTACAGGGTATTATGCTCAGTGATATGAGGCACGTAGTGAAAGATAAATGCTACATGATTTCACTTATTTGTGGAATCTAAAAAAAAATTAACAGCAGGGGACAGTTTTTTTTTCATATTACACCCATATCACTTATCAGTTTTGAATCAATGTATATCATGACCTGTAATTTCTAATTTAATTTTAATTTTTTAACACAAATTCCTATAAGTAAGGAGCATATTATTTATATATTTATATTACATTTCATTGAAAAAATTAAGATAATACAGCCTATAGTTTATATCCATATTTGACTTGTTAAGGATTCCTTTGAGGCACTACTGAGATTGTTAATATTTGGTGAATCTTCAATATAATGTAAAATGATCTTTATCAATATCATTGATTATACATATTCATTAAAGCAGACAGTAAAAGCAGTATTTTATACAGGAAAAATTGAAAGGATAATGTAAAGTAAAATGAACTTTATAAAACAATTACAGAGGAATTAAGTGTGTGATTTTTATAGAGAGCAAGAGAATATATAAAACCCAGTAAGACAGTTGTTTTCTAAACATTTGGTGCTCATTAAATAACATTGGGATGGACTTGAATTGGAACTTTATCATTTTCCAGAAGAAAAGTTTTTTAGTACTTTTCTTACAGCTTCCTTGACCTGTTTGTTTCTAAGACTGTAGATGATGGGATTCAAGAAAGGAGGAACTATGTTTTATAATACAGATAGAATCATGTCCTGGATGGTTTCAGATGTTACTGAAGGTTTCAGGGACACATAGGTGACAGTGATGAGGAAGACAGACACCACCAGGATGTGAGGGACACACGTGGAAAAGGCTTTGCCTCGCTCTCTGGTTGGAAACTTCTGCACAGTGGAAAATATGTGAATGTATGACATGATGATTAAAAAAAGCAGCCACCACAGACCACAGTGGCAGAGATAATAAGAGGAAATTGCTGAAGGTGTCTGAGCAGGAGAGGCTCAGCAGAAAGGGGATGTCACAGAAGAACTGGTGGACCATGTTGGACTGACAGAAGGACAGCCGGAATATGTTCCCTGTGTGCACAGCTGCATAGATGAGACCACTGAGCAGGGAGACCAGTGTTGTCCAGACACAGAACTGGTGGTTCATGATGATGGGGTAGTGGAGGGGCTGGTAGATGGCCACATAGCGGTCATGGGCCACGATGGTGGGGAAGAGAAACTCTACAAATGCATAATAAATGACAAAGAATATCTGAGCTGCACAACCAGCAAGTGAAATGGCCCTGTTGTCAGTGAAGGAGTTGACACAGGAATCGGGGACAGTGACAGAAATGTAGCACATGTCTAAGATGGGCAGTTTCCTGAGGAGGAAGTACATGGGAGTGTGAAGGTTCTGGTCCAGAGTGGTGGTAGAGACGATGAGAAGATTCCCTAACAAGGTGGCCAAGTACATCAGTATAGGAACAACATCATGTGAAGGAACCTTCTCCCTATCAGCAAATCCCATGAGGAGAAACTCAGTCACCATGGGGAATTGGTCATTTTCTGGAAATGGTGTTTGACCTAGAAAACAAAAGGATAAATCATAAAAGTCATGATTCCTAAAAACTTTTTCTAAAATAACTTAAGAATTTTATTTGAATATATTTATTTCCATTTTATGCAGTTATCTTTCTGCATAGGAAATATCTATTTTTAGTTTTGTGATTGACTGATTTTATTATGACTACTGAGTTCTTCTAAGGGCAAAATCCTAAGTAATAAGGGTGGGGATGATCTGTCTTGTCTGGTTATGTACGCAGTGCTCATACTTTATCAATAATGTACAGGCCATGAGTTTTATCATTTTAATAAAGATTTCATTAATTCAAATAAGTTTTATATATAGTTAAAATATATAATATATGAATGCATATTTTGGGGGCATATTATAAATGGAATAATACTCAACCTTATAAAAGAATGAAATCTTGCCATTTCCATCCACACGGATAGAATTATAGAGCATTATGTTAAGTAAAATATCAGACAGAGTTAGACAAATACCAACTAATTTCAGTTATATGTGGAATCTATAAAATAAAGCAAAGATATTAAAAAATAGAAACATATGCATACAGAGATCTGGTGGTTTCTGGAGGTCATAGGGATGGTAGGTGGACAAAATATGTGAAGGGGATTAAAAGACACTTCTACTTATAAAACAAATAAATCACTGGGTGTATTTATACCATAGGTTTATAGCCAATAATACTTTAATAATATTGTATGGTGACAGGTGGTAATCAAACCTATCATGATTATTATTTCATGTTTAACAATTTCAAATCACTATTCTGTATACCTGAAATTAATATAACATGCCATATCAATTAGGGACATATATAGGGACAAATATAGGGACATATCAATGTAAAAATAAGCACAGAACATTTTGTAATTTATTATAAAATGAATCCATAAAAGTTAGAAAAAAAATTTTAAGATAATAATCTCATATTATTCTCAATACTTACAGATAACTGGCTCTCAAAGGGATTAGACTATCTACCAGCTCAAATTAATAACTAAATATATAGATATAAAACAAAACTCTTGCCCACATAGGAAACATAAAAACTAAAATCTTAATATAACAACTACTCTTTACTGATTACTCATAATCATTCAAAAATATTCAAAGCATGGAGGTTTTATTAGAATAAGGAAAAGGTATACATTTTAGGTGCTTTATTATGAGAGTAAGATATATATGAAAACAAGTATTTAACATTTCAGAAATTTATGGGTCCTAAAAAAATACCAGATGCTGTGTAATACTTCTACATTTTCATAATGATTACATGTAATGTTAAAATACATATTTAAACCTTCAAGGTGTCATAGAAATACAGACATTCAGGTTTTTTATTGTAAACCGACACTATTTGTATCTCCAAAAAATTTAGTAAACTGCCCACTAGCTTGTGTTGATTGAACTTACTGATGCACTCTTTTCTTTATGTGACATAAATAGTAATAGAAAATTTCTTTCTTCATTTCTTTTCATTCATATGTATCAGTAAAAAAACTAGATGAGGTAGCATTAAGCAGATGGATATATAAGAATCAAATATGAAAATAAATATATATGAACAACCACGTCATTCTTAGTTCAGACCTCAACCACTTCAACAAATAAAAAAAGAAAGTTAATTTCTTTAAAAAGCCCTCTAATTTATAGCAAAACGTATGGTAGTTTTTGAATAATATACCCACAAAAATTTAGACTGAAATAAACATACCTGGGATATAAGTTATTTGTATCCTTAAGAGAACTGCAGGTGAAAAAAACATGATGGAATTGTAAATGAAAAAATAAGTAGAAATGAAAGATCTGTAGATGTAAGATAAAAGAGTATATCTGAATCCAGAAATAATAATGGACATCTTTTAAAATTCTTTCTTTTTTAAGTCAATATTTGGTAAGTATAAAAGAATTATATGTTTCATATAGTCTTGGACATTTTCTAAAAATAATAAAATGCACCATACTTCCCTTCAAATTTAAAATGGATTATTTGAGATGAAAGGGAACAGATTACAAATGATTTTTAAATTACCATTCCCCATGTTAAATAACATTAATCAGTGCTATTTATAAACAAACTGAGAAACATTCAGGCAAACAATATGACTCTCACATGTGCCTTTGAACATTGCTCCTGGTATTCATATACATTTCAAATTATATATACATACACATCTACATAGACATGCATTTCTATGTATGAATATATACATATATATAATATTAATTAGTATATACACCTGAAAGAGTTTTTAAACATCTATGAATGTTGATAGTCAAGAAAAAAATTCAAGAAATAATTATCTGAAAAAGCAGGTATTAAAGATAGCAGCATGAGGGGAGAGACAGAGGCTTCCTCCTAAAACTGGATACAATTAGAAAATTTCATTGGCGCAACTAATCCTGAGAAAGCAACAGGAAAGAGGACAGCGTCAGATTGCATACACCTGGAGAAAAGAGCAGACCTCAGCGAATGAGGTAATGTACCAGAGCTGTGGCTCCACGGAACCCGAGCACCTCCCCAACCCCAGCTCACTGGTGGGAGGAAGACAAACGGAGTATGGAGGGAGTGGAAGGCTTGGGATTGCTGAATACTTAGCTCCGGAGATCTGTGCTGGGAGCACAAACCTACATTTCATGGTGCTTTCATGAAACTCGCATAACTACCGGGTTGGAAAGTTAATACAGGCAGAGTTCCTGGGGAGACTGGGATTCTGGCTGCTTGTGGAAAGCAGGGATCCATATCTGGCTTCTCTGGGACAAAAAGATATACCTGTGAGACCAGCCCACTGGCTCAGGAAGTGGAGACAGGCACAGCAGTCAGAAGGTGGGGATCAGCTCCTTCATTCCCCCCCAGGTACCAGTATTGCTCCCCTGCAACCCCGACATTGCTTCAGGGGCTCAGCAGCTCCAAAATAGAGCTTCTGGACACTAGAGGGCTCCATATACAAACATGAAAT